GCTGTTAGTAAAATAGTCCAAAAGACCAGAGCATCAGGGGCCATCCTTACATAGGTAATCCCAGGGGGATTGGCCCAAAGGCACAGTGTACTTGGTGCTCTGTAAGCCGCACTCACCCAGTGGCGTGTGACCTCAGGCTTGGGACTGTTGTGACACACAAGCCCAGTTTCCTCTGTCCTCTGGGATCTTCTTTTTCGTTCCTGTCTCCTGCATCTATATAGGCCCTTACTCCAGAGCTCGGTTTCTATTGACCCAGATGGTCTCTACCTATGTTTGGAGGTTGTGCTAGCAGAGAAGAATGCAGACATGCCAGTAGCCTGAGACCCAAGTCAGCAGTTCTCAACACTTCCTTCCAATGTGAGAATCTCCCCATCTGCGTTCTCTGATGAAATGATCAAGGCACAGGGCGACGCAGTGTGATTTATAGAGGTTAGTGGGACATGGGGGAAAAGGAAACTAGTTTCCTGAGATCAATGATTATGGAGAAAATGTTTACTCAGGGGTCAAACCTTAAGTATTAAAACTGCATCTCTTCCCATGGAGCCAGGCATGGATACTTTCATATCTGAGAGATGGTCTTCTGTGGTGGAAAACCCTGGAATTTAGAGTCGATTTGAGTTTCACCTTGCTAAGCAACTTTGCAAATGACTCTAACCTCCTCCGACCTTCTGTTTCCTCATCTATAAATGGATGAGATAATCTTCACCTTTGAGACCTAAAGAACTCGGAGATACTGCACACAAAGAGGTCGGCACGTTGCGAGCATGGAATACACTACAGCTATTTTATTCACCAAGGAGACCAACATATTTGGGAGAAACAGGGGTGACATTCTTTACCTACCTATTTTATGAACACTCGCCAAAAAGCTCGTAAGGTAAATTTGACTTGAGGGCACATGGCTACATTTGTAACATCGTTACAATTGCACAAGTTCACTCAGGAGAGCTAATCAGAGGATCAGTAAGTCAACTTCATCACCATGTGGGTGGTTATGACCTTCTCCCTGCTGTGGACTCAGACACTTGGTGTCACCCAACCAAATAAAAACAAGGAATATTCTTAAACTCACTGCGCCATGTCAGTACTTCCTGTGTGGAGGAAGCCGTTTAGAGACAAGACAGACACAGTGAAGACTGTCAGGGAGACAGACGGATAAAAGGCTTGCTTTGTTTCTCTGAGCAGCAGGTGAAGAGTGGCTGAATTTCCTTAGGGGTAAGACCGGGTCCGCCTTAGACCAAGCCTCTGTATTGTCCTTGGATCTAGGCTGTGCCTATAAAGATCCGGTAAAACACAAGGCTAAGACTCAATCTGCAGTAACAATACTCTTAGGAAGGGTGGCTCTTAAAGACAATCAGGAAATTGTCTGTGAGCACCTAAAGCCACTTAGGGAAGTTTACCAAGTCTGGGAAAAACATTGGGTATCTCTCTTCATGACAAGTGGCATAAAGCTACTGAAGGCCTGGTAGGGAAGGAACTCCTTCTGGCCTCTTCAGTCTGGTTCGTATGTGTAGGACCCAGCACAGGTTCAATGACGAGGATCCAAGAGAGGGAGTAGTGTGTGTGGCCTTAGCATTCGACAGTGGACATCCAGGCAGAGGCACAATGCAATCATACAGTGCTGGCCTAGCAGGTCAAGCCTGGCTTCCATCGCTAACACGCACTGAAAGAGCAGGTGTCCACACTGGCCAGGTGACCTCAGAGCTCCTCTAAGCTTCTAGGACCTCCCTCCACACTCAACTCATGACCTTGTGCTTGATAACTAGTGATAAGGTTCGTTATCACTTATCCTGACTTTAAACTACACACACTTTTATGCAAACAACCAACGCTAAGGATTTCTGGATAACATAGACTAGGTGCTGCCTCTGTGAACCAGTAAAGAGGAGTCAGAAAAGAAAACCAGACTCTTCCGAAGAACATAAAAAGAAACGAGCTTGAGAACTTCTCAAGGGTAGTGAGGGAATAATTTAAAAGTACAGGGAGATAGACAGTAAGCCTAGCCAAACAGCACTGGCCTTGTGGCGCCCTGACAGACAGAGTGCTGATGCAGAAGGCTTATCCAGAAGGTAAGCCAGGCAGCCCTTATGAGGAGAGATGCAAGCCTGTCCTCAGGACAAGCCGACAGTCCTCACAAGCCTGCTGTAAATTCCTCCAGGGGATGGGGGATGAGGCAGCTGTGGAAAGGGATCCAGCACCACCATTCTTTGTGAACAGAGGGCAGTGGCTGGGCGCAGTTCTTAAAGGAAACCTATTGTTTACAGTCAGCCACGCTGGAGACCTGAAGACCAGGAACAACCAACAACAGGCAGGAAGCCTGCTACTCCAGTCAGTCACAGGCATGAGATGCCCAAGGGGGGCAGCTGTGGGAGCAGGAAAACTGAACTCTGACAAGTCAAAGAGTACAGATAGACAGCAACAGGACAGGTTCAGAAAGTGGTGGTGATGGTGGTGGTGATGGCAGTGGTGGTGGTGGTGGTGATATTGATAGTTGTGGTGGTGGTGGTGGTAGTAGTGGTGGTGGTAATAGTGGTGGTGTTAGTGGTGGTGGTAGCAGCGGCAGTGGTAGGTAGCCCTATCCTCAGTGACAAGGAACAGATTTCATCCCCTGAGAATAACTCTGGACTTCCACAGCCTGAGGTCAGAGGGTGGACCAGTCTCTGGAGCCATCTCTATGCCACTCACTGCTGGAGAGCCCAGAACTCTGAAGGACGAGTCTACATGTAGCTGCATCCCTACAGGAGAGAATACTCAGGGATCTTGAGGGTGTGAAGATGGGTCCTTGTACAGATGTCAGTGCCATGCTTGTACCTCATACTTATATCACACATGGGAGATGCTTCCCAACTGTAACACTAGCCAGTTTAAAAGAACTGGGAGGGTGAGAGAACCTACCAGCCCACAGACTGCAAAGCTAAGTGTGGCCAACAGAACACCCTGATGTGCAAGAAGGGACATTACTAAAGTGAAGACAGATCTGGTGGGATGCCAGACATGTGGCCAGTGTAGGTTTAACACTACACAAACCCAAAGTTCTGAAGGCCCGCTCCAGTCTCCCCTTCCTCATGTGATGACTGCCGCCTCCAATCTCAAAGACCTAGCAAGGGAGCCTGTTCCAGCTTTACCTCCTTCCTCCCCTCCCCCTCCCTCTCTCCCTCCTTTGTCCTGTGTTCCTTCTCCCTCCCTTCTCCCTCCTCTCTCCCTTCTTCCTTCATTCCTTTCTGTTGCCCTGTGTATCTCCATTTTTATGTATATTTTATTTTTTTTACATTACTGAACTAAAAAAACAAGTTTTTGTGATTCCCTCTCATAAAATTTTCTAATTTTCTTTATGTACACTTTTATTGAGCAATCATTTTTCCTTTCATCTCTTTTTTCTTCTTTTTACTCTCTTTTGACCATGTTTCCCATTTGCATTCTACTATGCAGCTTGGCTTTATCTTAATTTTTAAACTCATGTAATACACATACGTGTTTGCTGTGAAACATCCTTCTTGTAGTGTTTGAGCATGCTTTGACCTTGTCCTTCACTCCTGCCCTTCTTTTTTCTAATTGATCAAGTCTATTGGTGATCCTTTTCCTTGGCTTTATGTACTCATTAAGATTTGAACTTCTCGCTTTTAATTCCCCCCAAGACTCAGCTTCCTTGCTTAGTTTTTCCTCCACAACTACTGACTTTCTCACCCATTTTGCTTGCTCCACGGTCTTTGCAGCTGCTCATCCTCTCAAGACCTCAGATGGAGTTCAACTGCTTGTTTTTATCCCTTTTGAAGTCAACGATCATTTAGCTAGTAAAGTTTTGAAATCTTTGTCCATAGTTTTAACCTCTTTCTGTATCCTCGAATTCAACAGCTGAGGAGTTATGGTCTTTTGGAGGAGTAATGCTTCCTTGAATTTTCATGTTTCTTACATCTCATGCTGTGTCTTATTCTCTTATTGCATAACTTTCCCTTGAGTGCTCAATCCTCAATATGATTAGAGAGGAAGAAACAGATTCTGTACCAGTAACAACATGAAACTGTACAAGACAAAGAAATACACTTAAAATTTACTAAAGCCATTACCATATCACTAATGATTATAAAACAAAAAAGAAAAAACTAATATAGAATGTATTATGAAGTTACAAATTATTTAGTGTCAATAGTGAATAAAGTAAATTTCAAACCAAAATTAGTCATGAGAGATAAACAAGATGTGCTCAATTTGGTATCAATGGGAACAAACCATGAGGAGACCAAACACAGATAGCGCGTCCTGAGTAATGGCACCCAACTTCATATATAAGCACTAGTGAGCACAAAAGGTCACAGAATTCCAAACACAACAAAGGTGAGCGACTGCAGTATCTCACTTTCATTTAGAAAATTTGTCAAAAGTAAGTTCAGCTACACCTTAAAGCAGATGGAGTTCACAGAGATCCACAGAAGATCCCATTGACTAGCTGCAGAGTACATATGCCTTTGCTGCCTTCTATAACATAGACTACATGCTAGCCCACAAAGTCTTAACAAATGCAAAAGGATTGAATCCATTTCTTGTGTTGATAAGATGACAGTGGAATTCACATCAAGAAAACTACACAACTACATGAAAACTCTGGAATAACCTATTCACAATGGCTTCAAAAAAATACCACTGGGAAATGAGATTACACAAAATTAAAAGATTCTGCACGGCCAAGGAAGTAACAGCCAGAATGAAGAGGCAGCTGCATAATGGACAAATCTTGCCAGCTATACATCAAGTGGGAGCTTTAAATCTAGAATATAGTTTTCAAAAACTCAAAAAATTAAGCATTTGCCTCTGAAATAAATCATCCAATCAATCAATGTTTTAATGAACTGATTAAAAAGTTCTTGAAAGAAAAACACCATGGCCAATATATATTGCTAAAGGTTTCCAAAGTCCCCAACCCCATCAGGGAAATGCAAATTAAACTACTCTGTTCCCATCTCCGAATGGCTATCATCAAGGAAACAAAGGACAATGAGAAAAGATGCTAAGAAAGAGGAAGTTTATTCACAGCAGGTGGGAATGTAAGCTGGTCCCACCACTCACAAAATCAGTGTGGAAGTGTATTAGCGAAGTGAAAACAGAACTCCTACTACCATTGTGTGTCCTGAAAGCACCATGCTTCCAACCGCAGAGATACTTGCACATCCATTGTTTTTTCACAACAGCAAGGAAATGGAACCACCGTAAATGTCCACCAATGGATGAATGAATGAAGAAAATGCAGTTCAGGTATGCTGTAGAATTTTATTCATCTGTGAAAAAAATGAAATTGTGATATTTTCAGAGAAATGGATGGAACTACAAATTACTATTGAGAAATCGCTATGTAAGCTAAACCAATCCAATTCATAAAGAGCAATGACATGTTTCTTCATATGAGAACCTAGATTCAAATTTGTGTGTGTGTGATAAAACTGGAGGAGAATGAAAGAGCAGAGAGCTCTCAGGGATGGGACAGGGACACAGTGGACAGGGATCATGAACACAGCATTCCTCTTGATGTTGCTTTTGTTCAGGGCACTTTAGCACAGCAACAGAAATGAAGCTGGAACACCTGTAAGAAAGAAAAATCCAGTGTGACGGCAGGTCTCATACCCAAGGGGAGGCTTGCTGGCAGGCTAGCCTCTATACCTGATGAGTCCCAAGTCAATGAGAAACCTCATCTCAAAAAATAAGGTGTATAAAAGAAATTTTAAATAAATAATTTAAAATGCTAGAATTGGTGGCACATGCCTTTAATCCTAGGCAGAGACAGGTGGATCTCTGAGTTCAAGGCCAATCTGATCTTACAGATCGAGTTCAGGACAGCTAGGGCTACACAGAAAAACCCTGTCTCCCAAAAACAAACAAACAAATAAATAAAAATAATGTGGATGGTACTTGATAATTTTGCCTCTGTCTACACACACACACACACACACACACACACACACACACACACACACACACACCACACCACACAATACACACATACATACACATACACCCCCATACACATACACACACACACACATGCATACACATACCACACACACATACATATATCACATACACATACACATGTATACACACCACACACACAAACACAAACATACACATACACACACACACCACAATGAAAATCATTACTTCTTATATTGATTTCCAAAATTAACTAGCTAGTATAAGCTTCCATCAAGAGCATTTGTTCTGTTAGTTCTTTGCGACAACCCTAAGAAGTAACTGGTAGAAAAACACTGTTATTACCATCACATAAAAACATTACTGTAGGCCAGTGGTTCTCAGCCTTCCTAATGCTGCCACCCTTTAATACAGTTCCTTATGTTGTGGTGGCCTCCAACCATAAAATTATTTCTTTGCTATTTCATAACTGTAATTTTGCTACTCTGTGAATTATAATGTAAATATGTGATATGTGACCCCTGTGAAAGGGTCATTAGACCCCCCAAAGGGCTCGCAACCCACAGGTTGAAGACGGCCGTAGATGATTTAGATTAGGACTTTTGTAAAGACTAGAGGGATTTATCAATGAAGAGGAGCTAGAGAACACACAGAGAATTCAAGTTGGCCTGGTAATTTGGCTCAGCAGGCACAGTACGAGAAAATAGACTTGCACACGTTGTCCTCTGGTCTCCCCGTGTTCTCCATGGCACACTCACGCCCCTCACCACGCAATAAATCCATAGACGTTCAATGGTAAAGGAAAGAACCAATGTTAAAGACAACCGCATGCTAGACCAGCAAAGCAGCTTGGGGATGTACCTTCCTGAATACTCCACTAGAGGACAAGGCTGTGCATATATTATTCTCACAGATGCTATGTTTGGAATAAAAACCGGTAACTCCAAAAGCTGATTAACAGCAAAGTTCCAATGTGATGATGTAGAACATTTAACAGTCGGGAACTGTGACAACGGGCTTCTGTGCAAACTGGCTCCTCCAAGTTGTCCTCTGACCTCCAAATGCACACTGTAACTTGTGCTCACACATAAGCACACGTGCACGGAAAATAAATCAATGTAAAATAAAAAAGCTACATATACGATTCAACCCACCTTTTCAGGCTGCAGAATCTCTGTGTACGTTTCTCTGGTGCACTCATAGTGGCAGAGACAGAACACCATCAAGCAAGCCACACTAGGCTGACTCCTGGCACCGGAGCCGCAACCCAAGGCTAGCCCAGGTGACCCCGCAGCTAACAAATGGGGACTACAGCGGGAGCCCCTGGCCTCACTAGCAGCCCTGCCGGTAATGTGTCCATACCACCATTGCAGGAACAAAAAGAGTTAAGGCCGCACACAAGGGGTCTGAGGAGCGACGTGAGGGAGGCTGAGACCTGACAGGGCACAGTGTTGCTTTGTTCTCCGCTCGGGACTCTACTTTACAGAAAAGATAGGGTTTTTTGTTTGTTTGTTTGTTTTTTTGTCTTCTTTCAAGGCCAAATGGTAAAGTGGAAAGCTAATTTAATGTTGCCTTTGTATTACCTTCAAAATAAAATTAAAGTTACCCTTTTATAGAAATGTTTTGCTTTCCCAAGGTTAAGAAATTATGAACCAAATCCTGTGAAATTGTTTCTCTGTGGTTTTCTTCTCTTTTGTTCTTTTATAGTTAGAAAGCTTATTGACTTGTAAGTGACTCTTCATGCTAATATGCACAATATTTATACATCTATAAGCAATGCCCACTTGCCCAGTGCCATTCCACACAGAAAAAATAGAATTTTATGTATCATTAAGCAGTTTCCAAGGTGTTGGTAATTTCAGGCAAAGCCTGAGTATAATGGCTAGTAGCATACTCACCACCAGCATGCTGTTTGGGGTTTTTAAACCACTGCAGTGGATACACCTGGCCTCCCTGGCTCAGTGAGGCCCCCTCCACACCGGCTGAGCACATAAAACCCTAATCAGGGCTCCTCTATAGGGCAAAGGGCCTGGGAAGGGGAGTATGGTCTGAGATTCCACCAGCCACAGTGGCTTTTAGCAGAGAGGCTCCGGCAGAGTCTAGGGCAAGCAGTACATTTGCAGAGAGAAATGAAATGTGGATTCCTTTGCTGAAAAATCAACAAAAATGTGCAATTCAAAGTGTTAAAACAAAGCACCCCCCCTCCCCATCCAATGGTTCCCCTTGACTTGCTCCAGGGACTTGAATTTGCTATTTAAAGTCTTTCCAGGGGTGTGGGGATAGCTCAGTCAGTAAAATGCTTGGCATCTAAGCAAGGAGACCTGGTTTGATCCTCAGGACCCACATTTAAAAAGGCACGTGTGGGATGCATTTGTAATCTCAGCACCAGGGAACTGGAGACTGGTGGATCCTTGGTGCTCATTTGCTGGTTCATCCAGCCTAATTGGCAACTTTTAGGTCAATGAGAGACCCTGTTTCAAATGAAACGTGTATGCACCTATGGAAGAACACCCAAGGTGAGCTCTGGCTTCCACTACATGCACACACACTTGAACACATGCATTTACATAAACACACACACACACAACCATATGACTCTAGTTTGAGAACAAAATTCAAAACATAAAGATTGCCATTCATCTTTGCTTTGTGCAAAGTGAGTTTTCATAAAATGACATTGAACTTAGCTATAGTGTCATTGACAAGACACAACTTGGCTTTTGAAGCTCATATGTGTGTTTTATCCTGACAAGAACAGAAACTGGTTCCAGTTGTTTTTAATTTGCTTCTTCCTATGGGCCCATTCTGCTACTTCCTTTGGTCAGCTGATGAGCAAGGATGAACATGAAGAAAAGGGGGCCCTGGGTCACCCCCTCTTTTCCTTTTCTTCCCGTCATCCCCTCGGTACGGAGCTGGGGATCTTTTGGTTTCGTTTCTCGGAAGAACATGATTTTTATTTGGCAGTTGGGATTCTCATTCTGTTCACTGAGCCCCTTCAGATCTCCGAGGGATCCCCAAGAGATCAGACTTCTAGAGCATCAGAAATCCTTCTTGAACGTGGGAAGAGAAGACACTGCAGGTGGTGTGCACGTTTCCTGTGTGCACGCTCAAGTCCTGTCACCCTTTTGCATTAACTTAGCAAACATGAGTTCAGAGACTGGCAGGGGAGCAAGAGGCCCACTGGGGGGTGCCCAGGGGAAACGTGTGTTACCAGAAGGAACTGGACAAACATACAGAACGTCATTCCAGTTTGTGCTCATCTTATTCTAACCAAATGGTTAATTCTAGATGCTTGTTAGAACATTCAAAATGACCCAAACCCTTCACAAAATCATAGCTTGCTGTCCATGCCATTTCCAGTTCTTGTGTGTGTTCGTGTGTGTGTGTGTGTGTGTGTGTGTGTGTGTGTGTGTGTGTGTGTTATGTGCTCAAGCACAGTAGAACATTCGGGTGTGTTAAAATATAATGAATGAGTGGTGGTAACATTCATCCATGACTGATATAACTAATAAGTTACAGTAAAATGCTAATACATATGTTTATGTGAGAGTTCCAATATTTATGAATCACACTCCCAAGTTCCTAAAACTCCCATTAGAGGAAATGTGAACATTTGAACATGGCCCTGGATGTTTCACAATCATGAATTGACTGCTGTTAGACAACTAAACAAGCATTAGCAAGATTGGAGGATGCTGGGGTAGGGTCTCCCTCAGCAGAGGCAGCCTGTGAAGTTGAGGTCTGGCTCTTAGGACTCTAATTATTGGTCAGAGGGATGAGACCTGAGTCACATCTCTAGCCCTGGAAGGAGATATGTCATTCTGAACTGGCCAGAAGGTCATCCATTGATAACTATCTAGACCTGACTCCAGGAGCTCTGAACCTTATAAGATTACTATCTAGCAGGAAACTCTGACACAGGACAATGACATCCTGTTCCCCCTCTGTAAAAGGTCCTTCGAATGGGCCTGTCAATCACCTGACAGGAAATCTGTCCTGGGAAAGCTGTCTGCTCTGAATACTTTAAAACAGTGTAAACCTGCTCAAGGGTCTCTGTGGCCATTGTCCACTGTCACCATGAGATGTCCCACCTCACTCTGTCGTGAACACACATGTCTTCTACATGACGCCTGCATTTGGCCTGACTCCTCCAGCAGAGCTCACAGGGCAGGGAGCCAAGGGGAGCCAGCACGAGACTGCGTAACTGTCTTTGCTACATTCACTGAAGGTCTAGTCTCTGTTTATTGGATGTTGTTGCACTCAGAAGCAAAATTTACTTGTAATGACTTCTTCAGAGTTCTTATGTTAAATAATAAGTAGACAAAACTGAAGTGTGACCTACTTCCACAACAAAAGTGCACAAATCATGCGATTAAATTTGTGATTCAGAAAAATTGCCAGATAGTGTGTATCTTAGACTGATTACCTGGTATTGGTGTGTATGAATCTTCATGTCCCAGGACGTGAGGTCCATGCTCCTCCGTCCATCTGACCCATGGTGTTTACCAGCCACAGAAAGGGTAGAGTGTTCGCTGTCAATGGGACTTCATGTCTTTGGGGTGAGACCTTCAACCCTGTGGCAGTCCTAACCGTTACTGGTCTCTTTCTTTTTCCTTTTTATCAACTTAGAATGTTCACTTTGAATCAAGGCAGAGGAAAACCGACGAGAGGCTTCTGGACTGTCATGGACTGTGTGCTCCTTCGTACATTCCTTAATCCAGCGATCGTTTTCCTGGTACAGCGACAGGTGCAAAGGACGAGTCAACAGAGAAGCAATCAGAGGCAGGTTTGCAAGTAGCTCAGGGACTGATGCAGACGACAAGCGTTAAACAGCGCACAGTGCGCAGAAGTAATTATCCAAGGGCATACATGCATGTGTGTGCCATGTACGTAATATGTGATATGCGTTTGTAGACACACATGTGTATGGTATGCATAGGAAGTATACGTGTTCTACATGTAACGTGTGTGGTGATGGACATTTATATAATACATATGGGTGTGTTATGCATACATGTGATACAGATGAATGTGTAAGATGAATATGTGGATGCCTGTGGGTATGCTATTCATGTGTGTAATTTGTATTATATGATATGCGTGTGATACATGTGTGATGTGCATGGGTACGTGTGCTTCATAATATATATACTATATGTGTGTGATGTGTATGGTGTGTATGATACCTATGTGTATGACATAAATGTATATATTTGTGTGTGGTGATATGCATATGGTAATAGGCATATGTGTGAAATGTATGCATATGACACCTGTGGTATATGTGAATGTTGTATGTTTGTGACATGTATGTACTTGATATGTATAAGTGACATGCATTTGTGTGATATATATGTATGTAGTGATGTATATATGAGATGGGTATTATATGTGTATGTATGGTATGCATTTGAGTGGTATATCTGCATGTGATACACATGTGTCTGGTGTACATGTGTCATAAGTGTTATGAATTAAAGGGAATGAATGATGTCAAGAGAGGTTGTTATGGAAACCATTTCCTAGGAAAAGAAGAGAGGCACCAAGAGAAAGTTGGGGGTGGGTGGTTGAAGCTCAGTGGGAAGGTCGAGGTTAGGTAAAGAGGCGAGCCTGGGCACATGAAGTCCCTGAAGGAAGTCTGTGCCAAAGTGGGGAGCAGAAAGCCGTACAGAAGCCAGATCTAGAAAGTTGCACTCCACAACAGTCGGAACTCAGGAAACACACCAGAGGAGAGGAGGCCGTGGACACAGTCACAGCAGAACCGCCAGATGCTGTCGGATAGTAAGGCGTCACTCATCTGAGCCAAAGTCAGGTGTGCTCAGGCAGAGTCCAGGCCAACGGTTCTCAACTCTTTGGGGTAAAAAGACCCTTTCACAGGGGTCACATATCAGAAATCCTACATATCAGATATTTTCATTATGACTCATAACAGTAGCAAAATTACAGTTCTGAAGTAGCAAAGGGAATAATTTTATGGTTGGGGGTCACCACAACATGAGGAACTGTATTAAAGGGTCGCAGCATTCGGAAGGTGAGACCACTGCTCTAAGGCCTCTGCCCATTGGCAGTTTGATTTCTCTGTATCCAGAATGGTGTGAGAACCGAGGACTTTTCTGTCCTGAAAGCGCTTTGCTGGCAAACATGTGTTCCATTCTCTGATATTATGCAACTGACCAAAAGGGAAAAAGAAACAGCCACAGAATACATTACTAATCTACTACAAGAGAGTAAATGCTACACATATAAACACCAACTTAGCAGTTAATATTCTCCAAATAACGTGTGTTCAAGTTAGCCCAATAATAGCCAGACTGTGAGCCACAGCCCTCATTTCTTAATAGAGATATAATGGGAATGAGCTTTAGCAACTGGCAACAAAGATTGTCTATGTCTTCTAAATTAAACTCATCTGCCTCTTGGCTTTCTAGGGTATAAAGAAAGTCCTCTTTGCTAATGTTAGAGAAACAACTGGTGAAGAGAACAGATTCTCTGGCTTTGCATGTAGACCTGGTATTCTACTTAGGCAGTGTTGCTCACTCAGTCCACCCCCTAGCCCACCCCCCAAGCCTGTCCCCTCAGCCCACCCCTCAGCCTAGCCTCCAGCTCACCTCCTAGCCCACCCCTCAGTCCACCCCAGCCCATCCTCCAGCCCATCCCCCAGCCCACCCCCAGCCCATCCCCCAGCCCATCCCCCAGCCCACCACCCAGCCCAGCCTCCAGCTCACCCTCCAGCCCACCCCTCAGCCCACCCCTCAACCTACCGCAGTAAGGCAGGCTGGCTTTGAGCCATGCTAAAGTTAGGCAGACTATTTAGTTCTTTAATGAGATACTGAACTTGCTCCTTCCCCGAATCCTTGCCCCAGGTACAGCAGCTAACAGCCAGGTAGGGCTCTAAGTCTGCCCACTTACGACTTCCTCTTTTTTTCTTCTTTTTGGAAAGCATTCCCAACACTTTGGACTTCCTTACTCTCTCTAAAGCCTCCACTCCTGCCCTGTGGCTGTTTGTCTGTCGGTTGATGCCTGTCCTCCATGTCAGCTGACATGCTGTTTTCCCTTCTTTTCTCCATTCCCCTCCCCTGGGCACTGCCGAGGTTTACAGCCTGTCTGCCCTGGGTGTTTCTTTTCAACTCTGATGAAACTGTCCTTGAGCTTCCCTTTGAGTCCATGCTCAACTTCTTTAACTAATGAGACCAGGAACCCAAAGAGGGGCCTGAGTTCCCCTAGCACCATCTGGCTTTCTTGAGTTCCTTCAGGAGAGTCCTGTCGGTGCAAGAGACACGGCTCTCATCTTTCTCCCCAACATAATATCTTTATTAATTATTTGGGAATTTCATACAATATATCCCAATCACACTCACTTCCCATTCCTCCAAGATCTATACTTCCACCCTTGGGCCCTCCCTGCTACCCCAGAAAAAGAAATAGAGAAAAAAAATTAGAAAACACCAAGTCCAGTTTCTGTTGCCCATATATACTCATTGGAGCACGGTCAGACTCCCAGTGGCCAGCCTCCAAGGGAACATCGAGTCCTTCCCCACCGGCACCACACCAGAAGCCGTTAACTGTGGGGAACGACGCTTCAGCATCCTCATCACAATAGCTTCCTGTCTGGTCTGTTTCTCTTTTGGGGAGAAGGGGTTGGCACAGAAGCCTTCATTGTCTCTTATTCTCAATTATGAGTCTGTCGTAATCAACACCTCTGCAAAAGAAGCTTCCCTACCCATAACAGCTGGCGGCGGCGGCGGCGGCATGGATCGGGGACTTCCATATGGTTCCCGGCGGCAGCACGGATCGTGGACGTTGACACGACTTCCATTGCAGCAGATCAGGGACCACAACATGGTTTCCAGAGGAAGAACAAACCGTAGACATCAGCACAGTTTCTAGGCGCAACACAAACCATAGACGTCAACATGGCCTCTGACAGCACCATGCACCATGGAAGTCTTTTGAGGAGACTTAATCCAGAAACTGAACTATGCTTCCTCTCAGATACCTCGCTTTTCCAAGTCCGGGTGATTGTGCAGTTTGGCAGCATGTCTTGGGGCAGGACTTGAGAGAGCTCCAGGCTGCTGTACACCACCCTGCCCTCAGCACCGGCCGCCGCCTTGCCACTGACGGGGCACTACACTTTCTGCAGCCTGCACACAGCGCTGCAGGCCCATCCTCTCCTCGACCCAGCAGGGTGAGTACTGAGAAAGGCAGCCTCGGCAGCAAAGGCAGGCCAGGTGGTGGTCCAGGCCTCCCAGCAGCCAGAGGACTGGCCCTTCTCAATGACAACACACTCTTTTGTCCATCACAGCCAAGCTTCCTCACGTGTCGCCTCTGAGTCTCTAGTTCTGCAAGCACTGCCATGCTCCATCATCGCTTTTTCCAGTTCCCTGAAACCACTTACCAGGCGCGGCTGTCTTCCCTCAGTCCCCAAAAGCTCTCACCTTAAGTGGAATAAAAGACAGTTTATTCTAGTGCCTTTCTGAGTGCCCGTGGCCTGGGAACACAGATTTAGGATACCCCCAAATTCCATGTGCCAACATGGCAGTAGTTCCCTGGTTGTACAGAACAGAGAAAGACATAAATCAGGGCAAGTGTAGAACACACTGATGGATACACCAGAGAGGTGGAAGCTCTGTGTCTCAGACGCTTCCTGATGGCACTCTTAGCGTTTGGGTTACAGGAAGCTAGTGGTCTTCTGTGTTAATGGATTCCAAAAGATTTTCCACCTGCTATTCACAGGTTGTTAGTTCTGACAGCAGAAGGACAAGGAATGGCACTCTAGGGGACCAAAGCTAGCCCAAGCGAAGGTGAGTGGCCGCTGGACCTGAACCGTTCCAGTCTCTCCACAGCACCGCGGTTCTAGTCAGGTTCAGCAAACCCAGCTTCTCTTCAGGAACTCTCGCCCTGTGCCTGCCATTCACCCACTATTTCATCCAGGCATTGATGGCAGGTCATAGAAGAGAGGGCTCAGGCTGTCTGAGCTCAGGTTATAACATGAGATCAATTCCAGTGAGAAATGATTCCTCATTGCTTTTGATTCCCGAACAGACCAGATTCCTAACTGCGGTGTTCTTGGATAGACCTCTCAGCCCACAATGATCCAGAAGGATTCTTTCCAGCAGCCCACCCTGACACTGTGACCACTGAGTCTGCTTGCTCAGCTTCCTGGTCACGTGACCACAAAAGGCAAGCAAAACTGGATCAGGCTAGTTATTTCTAAGTCCAGGTGATACTCCGAAAGGTCAAGTTTGGTAATAACATCAGCTATGAATTAGCAAATTTCAGTTTCTACAGCAAACTCTGATATAGGGTCTTCCTTTTAGGAACATTTGACCTTTGATGAAACTTCATAGGGGGGAATGATTAGTGAAGGAAGCCCTTTCTTACAGCGCCAACAAATGCACAATAGATCCAGATACAAAACTGTGGAGTGAGTGAATTGTGCATTTCTCTCCGGATGGACAGCTAGCTCAGCATTTTGCTAAGATTAGAGAAGGAAGTGTATTTAAATACCGTCTTCCCGAGGAGGTTGTGTTTGGAAAGGACAACTCAAGCCTTTGCTGATTGTTCCACCTCTCTTGTAGGCTTTGGTTTTATTTATAGCAATCAGGAAAAAAACCCACTCTCTGTATCTTCTGCAAGATTTCCACTGAAATCTTTTGAAGATAATGTGTTTTCATAACTGTAGTCTAAGATATTTTCTCTTAATGATGAAAAAGAAAGAAAAGAAAGAAAGAAAGAAAGAAAGAAAGAAAGAAAGAAAGAAAGAAAGAAAGAAAGAAAGGAAGGAAGATCGAGAGGAGGGAGGGCGAGAGGGAGGAGGGAGGAAGGAAGGAAGGAAGGAAGGAAGGAAGGGAATGAAAGGGCTGGATATGGTGGTGTCCAACTGCAATCCCAGATTCAAAAGGCTGAAACAGGAAGATCATAAGTTCAAGTCCAGCCTGAACCATAGGGCTGAGTCTAAACCTATCTTGTCTCTAAAACAAAGAAAGAGATTGTGTGGGGGGAATTCTGTGGTCAGAGAAGTTGGGCAAACTCTGCAAATTGCATCTCTCCTCTTTCCCCACAGCAATAGGCATTAACATGAGAGAACACTGGAAGTCCTACAAGGAGAAGGCTTTCATCTCCCAGACTCCCCGAGCCAGGATAAAATCAGACAACAAAGCCTTATTTTCAGGTCACACTTTCCAACACCCTCCAGCACATTGGCTGCAGAGTATCCTTTGAAAAAGCTGCAATAAACCAGGAGATGCTCCCCAGAGCCTGGGCATTTTCTCACTCTCAACTTTACCAAATAATTTCCCTGCCTCCATTCAGTTTTTTAAATATGAACTCATTTTTAACATCCATTATGTTGTGGTCAGGTTCTAGGCTTATCAACACAGAATCTTCCTTGTGGGAGCCACTAGCATTTCTAGAAAGAAAAGATATATCTCCTTAAAAGGAGGCTGTGCAGAAGAGCCACTTGCGATGATGTAAAATTGGGTGCTTACACATGAGCTCTCCCAGGGTTAAGGGGGCCGGGCAAGCAGTGCTCACTGCCACTTAGAGTTGATTGAAAAATGCCGTACAGCCTTTGTTCCTTGCTGCCTGCCATGTTTTCTCCCTTTCCCCAGGACACCCAGAATACAAAATGTGTTGTTTGGTCTGTGCCACAGTTTTGGCAGATTGGAATCCCTACATTGTTAAGCCCAATTGTGTCCAATATTAAAAATTTCTGTCAGGAAGTCATAGGTCTTCAAGCCAGCGTTATACGAAAACTCTTGTTGCCCTCTAAGCCCCAGCCTGGCCTTGGTGATCTTTTAGCTTCAGCCTGGGCTCCCCTATGGCAGGTCCCTAGACTGAGTAATTCTTTTCAGATGTCGATCTGACTGGGTGTTTTTGGAGTGGTTTCCCACCACGATTAATATAAACCCAGCTCCTGACCGGCCCCACTGCACAGCCTTTCCCACCTGTGCCTTCTCCTCCCTCCTGCCGTACCCCTCCCTCAGGGCACCACACCTGTAGCTTCAGGCCTGTGCCCTGCACACCCTTCTGCCTCTGCCATTTCTCTTAACATTCTAAGATCTCAGTGAAATAACCCTCTCCTTCCCCATCTCACCTCCCCTTGCTCCTCCAGACCCCAGCCGCCCATTTTCTTGCTTTAATAAGCTTGTTTTAATGTTTAAAGTATTTGTCTGCTTATGTGTATATCTCCATGGGGGCTGGACATGATTCTTTGTGATCCAGCTCAGTCATCTGTGGGGTCTTGCACAGGTTAGACACTGTGAATGTTTGCCAAATGAATGAATGAATGAATGAAGTTTCGTGGAGTGAATATGCACAACAAACAGGATATCTGAAGGAAGAAGAATATAGAAACAAAGCAGAAAGCAGGTGGCTTCAAGCACAGGCATTTTACAAAATATTACAGAACTATCTAGAGCCAAAACAGCACAGAGCCGCAGCCCACCTGATTCTGAGGACGAGGTACACTGTGAAATCCTGTTTTGGATTTCTTCCTTGTTTCTTAGCTTACCAGGAGATAGCTAC